AAAAAAAAAAAAAAAAAAAAAAAATTACTCTGCAGGATCATAAATTTTAAAATGACAGGAGATTGTGCTGAATGGGTAGTAACCAAGGGCAGAACTTGGATTATTTTTTAGAATTTTAGATATGAACTTTACTTATAGTTTATCTTTTTCCTATCTTATTCCTAAAAGGACTGAAAATGGCTTTGATTTGAACTTGTTTTGTAATGCACATGTACGTGTATTACAGGGCTGCATGTTTTTCCTAAAAGGTGAGTTTGGTTTCAAAACACAGATAACTTTTCAACTGTAAGTATTAAAATATTTTCTCCAACTCGGGGGGAAAAAGTCAAAAAGTTAATTTTTCCCAAGGCTGTGTTTAAAAACTTCCCTATTAAAGGGATAACTTCTCATTATGGTACTTATTTCTGTATGGTTTAATTTCTTGTAAGAGGCTTAAGGATGAAGGACAAGAGTTAATATTTGTCACAGTCTCAGATAAGATTTTTAAAATATAGTGCCAAGGGATAGTTATGCACTGTAACACCATAAATTTAACCACAGTTTATACAGATTTAAATGTAACTGCGTCTAATAGGATTCTCCTGAAGCAAGTGTGCAGAATGAATATGAACAGTGAAAAATGGGTTTATAAAACTAATGTAATATTTTCATGTGACTATGATACTTAACTTTGATAGAAGGCAAATCAAATTTTATAAGACCTGGAGTGATCATAAACAGTTAAAAGTGAATTATTCAGATTTAACAATATATGAAAGGTTTAAAAGCCCAGCAGAGTTATCCTTTTGTTCTCACTGCTGGAAGTAAAACAAAGAATCAATGGCATCTTAAAGTTACCTTCTACTTAAAATTTCACACAGTCATTATGGCTGATTTGTTTTAGTAGAAACTGACCATAACATTCCAAAGGCGGCTTTTGGTAGGTAATATCCATAATTATGTAAATGTTAAAAAACTGCTTCTGATAGGAACCTCTTCAATGTTGAAACAATTTACACCTTACAGGATACTTAAGGGCTACTTTTTCATGCATTGGTGCACACAATGAATGGTAGCACTGGGAAAAGCCAATATTTTTTAAAAGGTAATTTTTAAAAATTAAAAATACCAATGTTTATATAGGTAACAAATGCATTTGGTTTTAAAAAAAAATCAAGTGATACAAATGGGTGTGCAGTGAAACAGAAGTCTTCCCTTTACTCTTGTTTCTCAGTTTCCCAGATCCCTTTCTCAGAATCAACTTTTGTTAATTTCTTGAATCTTTCCAGACCAATTCCCCATATTTATAAGCACATATACATAAACTTTAGAAGACTTAAAAATAGCTGACTTTCTCTCTAGTAAGCCTAACAGTAACAAGTTAGCTTGAGCTTTTAAAAATACACCAGCATGTAAAAACAGTGTAGGGTGGGTGAAATTAAAAAAAGAAAAGCCAGATACTACATTGTTTTCACTGTAGCTCTGCCATCAACCACAGAATCCTTTCCTGAAAGGTGCAACAACTAAATGCTTCACCACGGTGGCCAGAGAGGGCAGTGTGTACCAACGACAAAGGCAAAGGCAGAAAAGCTGCAAAACCCTTCACCATTCCAGGAGTATCAGAGATTCCGTCCTATCCAGCTCAGTTTCAAGTTCTGAAGGTAAAGCTGTATAATAGATCTACGTGATTTCTCCCCAGAGGGGGCTACTCAGATGGAATGTCATTATTATTGAACACCCTAAGGCAAAGAGGACAACGAAGCAATTCAGATAAGGAGCACTATCAGAAACCCTACTATGCATAGAATTTATTTTGAAAAAGTAAAACAAAATCTTAATTTCCAAGGAATGGCGATATAAATTGAGAGTTACAGAAAGGAAAGACTACAGAAATTGATTTCAGAAATATAAAATTTTAATACAATGAGGAAATCATTAATAATTTATGGGGTGACTGCGAAACAATCACCAGATAAAGTCTTAGGTTACCTTAGCACAAACTGTACATATAAGTATACAGTGGGTAGTTAAATTGCTGAAATCTCAATTATGAATTTAGGAATATCTGAACAGTAGATAATTTGTGCAATTAAAATTTAAAGCAAAATTATACAGAATTTTCCAGTAAAACAAATTTGAAAAGTGTTAATATGGAGTGGGAAAAAACCCAACATTTTTCACTGTACAAATATCAAGATACAATGAAAAGCGCTAATCAATGCCTTAACTCCTTACCCAATATTTTAAAAATGGGAATATTTCATAACATTACAAATACACAGCTATTCAGTTTTCAATCTAAGTCAGTAGCGGAAAAGGGAAGCCCTTTATTGGTGGTGGTGATTTTCCTCCGAGGACCGAAAACAGGATTTATTCAGTCCGATTTTCAGAAACAACTTTCTATCACCATATTAATTATCTATGAATATAAATTTTAATCTAAAATAACACCTCCTGGAAAATGCAAAGCAGCTGTAGTATGTTTTGGAGCTTTGTGTACTTGGCAAGCCGACTGTTTTAATTCCCGGTACAACAAATCATAAAGAAGCAGATACCGGCGGCAGGGTATCCTGAGGTCCCGGGAAGCGCCAAGGCACAGCCCCAAGCAGCGGCGCCCGCAGTGGTGCCGCAGCCTCCGCGGCCGCAGCAGGTGGGACCCGGCCGGCGGAGAGGCCGTTCCGCCGCACGCCACCGCGGGGCTTTTCAAGAACAGCCGCGACGCCTCAGCTGGGGTTTTTATTGTTTGCTCGGAATGACTTTGTTACTAATGCTGAAAAAGAGCGGCCTACGCTCCACTCACACAAACCCCACAACTTTGCAAAGCGATGTGCGGAATTCCGAGGAAGAGGCGCTAGGGCACAGCTCGGAGAGCCGGCCGAGCCGCCGCGTCCCGTTGAGCTCCCCGGTTCCCCCGCCAGGCACGCAGAAGGCTGGGGAGAAGCGCTCGGGGAACGAGTCGATCCCAGAGGGAGCGGGGGCTCCGCGATCCGCTCGCGCCAGACAAAGGGGCGCGTCGAACGCCTGGCGCCGGGCAGGGACACGAAGACGCCGGCTTCGCCCGCAGGGGGCGCCGTCCGCAGCTCTGGGCGCTTACCTTTGAGGACCGAGCAGAGCTGCTCCAGGGCCATGTTCCCGAGCTGCCCGGCGCTTCGCGAGGGGCCAAGGCGGCGACGAAGAGGCGGTGGCGGAAGCGCGGCGCTCACGGATCAGCGCGGCGGCAGCCCCGCTCCGTCCCCATCGCCCGCCACCAGGTTGCTACCCGCAGGGTAGGACTCAGGTCCTGCGGCCCGCCATGCCCCAGCCTCC